GGGAGACAGTCCCTGGACTCAGAGCCCAGCCCTCCCTGTGGATGCTGGGGTGGCCAGAGGCCTGTCCTTAAAGACTGAGTGCCCTAGCTTGGCCTCACTCCACTGGCTGGAAGAAGAGAGGGGGCAGGCGACAACACTGCATTTGGGATTCAGGAGGCGAGAAACCATAGCCTAATGTCAACCCCAACACTACTGCAGACCTGCCACATTCCCTGGATGGGGGTCTTGGCACTGAGGGGGCAGAGCCGGGAGAGCAGAGGAGGGGCAGCCATGACCAAGACCAAAACGAAACCCAGAAACAGCCGCTTGCACGTTGATTCCCACTGTGTCCGTCTGGATGGACAAGAGAAACAAATCCAGAGACACACACATGTGTATAAGAAAGAGATTTAGATACAAGAGCAATTGAACATTGAGAAAACTTCCCAGCCCAGTCCAGATCAAGTCCGTAAGTCCAATATTAGCCCATATGTCTAACACCAATCTATAAATTCCTCTTCAGATTCACAAAACACATGCAATGATGCCAAATGTAGAAGATCACAGGCCAGTGGGTAGAAAGTCTTTGGATCCAGTGGCATTGGAAACGTCTCAGCGCTGGCAGGGGTCTCTGCATGGCTCTCTGCATACCGGGCTGCATCAGGGTGGCTCCATGTGTCTTGTCAGCTGCTATGTCTCCCAGGGAGTGTCAGAGAGGGAGGTGTCTCCCACCTCCAAGGAGGAAGACAGGAATTCCCAGAATTCTCAGGAGAAGGCCGTGCCCACACAGAGGCCTCATTGGCTGTGATCTGATTGACAAGCTAGACTCCACCCCTCCACTCTTAATCCTCAAATTGACAAATAATTGTATATCTACCACACCCACACAGCTGCTCTGGGGATGAGGGGGAGCGGAGCGGGCAGGGCCCCATAGGGTTTTCGAGGCTATCGCCTTTCAGAAAAGATGCCCTCATGGCCCAGTGGGTTAAGCTTGGGGCTGCTATCCAAGAGTTCCCGAGTTCAAACCCACAGCCGTTCAGTAGGAGAAAACTGAGACAACCAGCTTCTGTGAAGAGTCCCAGCCTCGGAACCCTGGGGCCACTGCTACAATGACCTCTAAGGAATGACCTCTAAGGTGCCATGACTCAATAGCACCAGTGAGCTTTTCACTTTCACAAGCCAATCCCCAGGCCTTCCTGCCAAGGGTGGGTTAGAACCACCAACCTTTCAGCTGATAGTCAAGCACATAATCATTGGCGCCACTCAGGGTCTCCTGCCACCAAGAGCACCCAGATGGTCATTCTCTTGAGTTGGGCCAGGCCAATCTAACCAAACACACACACACACACACACACACACACACGCACACGCACACTGACAGAAGGGCCTTTCCGGATCACTCACTCTGCTTCAGACATGACTGAGGCCCGGAGAGGAAGGAGTCAAAGAGATGAAGGAATCAGGAAGAGGGAAGGACGGTAGACAAATACTGGCCTCAGGAGACCAGGCACAGAGGAGTCCATCCCTGGCTCTGTTCCTCACTGAAAAGTGAATGTAATCCAGCACAGCCCCTCTCTAAGCCTCAGTTTCCCCGCACATCCTCTCAGGTGTTACATGTCCTCACACACATCCTCTGTCTGCCTTTCAGAGACTGGTCCCAGGACCACGTGGTCCCTCCTGGTCCCTTCTCCCACCTCCTTCTAAAAGCCCTGCCTCTGCGTCAGCCCTAACAGCACTGAGCTTGAGCCTGATCCCTGAGATGCTGAAGGACACCGGGTCCCACATCACAAGGGGTTCAGGGAATCACCTTGGGTGCCTCCTGTGATGGTCAGCCAGGCAGATGCATACATTCATAAAGAAGAACAAGAAGAACCTGCTTTATCTACTGACCAAGGTCCGGCCACAAGAAAACTGGATTACAAAGATGATGAAAGAAAAGTATCAGAGCTTAAAGTGTGAACACCCAATCTGTAGAAGACTACGGAGTACAGTGGGCCCCTCAAATCCATCCACAGAGGATCTAGTCAGATTAAGCCGCTGGCAGATCCCC